TGGAATATTTGCTCTTTTCGGTCACTTTCCTCTCTTTCCTCTCTTTCTAAAGCAAAAAGATTGTGCGTGCTTACAAGTAAAGTTATATAGAACAAGTAAAGCGTGACACAGCATCCTCATGACCCTGTAAATCTTCTGTCCTTTCGCTAACTACAATGTGTTTTCGAGGCTTACGAGTCTTAAAAAGCCATAAGAGGCAATATATTGTATAGCCAAACAAGTTCTGTTTTATTTCAAGGAGAGACGATTTTCTAGCTTGACCCCGGTTATGTCATGCATTTTCTCTTGTAAAATACATCCAATAGCATACATTCAACTCAAAAAGTACGGTGGTTTTTTTTCAATAGAATTCAATCTAAATCATATAATACAGTCCGTGAATAGTTGAATTAACTGAATCCACTTCTGTTTTATATCCAACAAGTAAAGCTTTTGACACAAACAGCAGCAGTTGAGGATACTCAGAGGAGGTGAACTTGTAACTGGTAGAAGATCTCAAGTCCATCAACAGTTATCAAGCGGTTGAAACATGTAAAATGTATCTACCCATAATCCTTGTCGGTCTCGGGTTTGTAGCTTTTCAGGTGACTAACTTTATTGAAATAAGTTTATATGACGACCGACACTAAAAACGGATGCGAGGGAGACTAGTTTATATGCGGATACATTGTATATCTAAGCAATTCCCCAGTTATATCAAATCAATCAAGTCACCTATTCTGGTCTTTCCATCGTCCTCTTCTGGACTAAACTCAAACATTTGCGCTCGTGTTTCTCCAGATCATTTAAACGCATATATTAATGAATGCACACTTACTTGACAAAATCCTTTTCGACCTCATAGTTAATTGACCCAATACTTCCAGATTCATCCATCACAAAAACCAGATTTGCCGGTAATTCACAATCTAAATATAAGTGACATGAATATGTTAATTATTGAGCTTTTAAGTTGTGACGTATTCCGGGTCCAATCACACAAAAGATCGCTAAAATCTTGCCACAACTGTATGTACTTTATTGTTCC